GAAATTTTCCTTTTTTGTTGTGTCTCTGCCAGGTTTTGGTATCAAGATGATGTTGGTCTCATAAAATGAGTTAGGGAGGACTCTCACTTTTTGTATTGTTTGTAACAGTTTCAGAAGGAATGAGAGCAGTTCCACTTTGTACCTCTGGTAGAACTCAGCTATGAAACTGTCTGGTCCTGGACTTTTTTTGGTTGGTAGGCTATTCATTGCTGGCTCAATTTCAGACCTTCTTACTGGTCTATTCAAGGATTCAGCTTCTAACTGGTTTAGTCTTGTGAGGGTGTAAATGTCCAGGAATTTATTCATTTCTTCTAGATTTACTGGTTTACTTGAATAGAGATGTTTGTAGTATTCTCTGATGGTAGTTTGTATTTCTTTGGGATCAGTGGTGATACCCCCTTTATCATTTTTTATTGCATATATTTGATTCTTCTCTCTTTTCTTCTCTATTAGTCTGGATAGTGGTCTATTTTGTTGATCTTTTTAAAAACCAGCTCCTGGATTCACTGATTTTTTTTGAAGGGTTTTTTGAGTCTTTATCTCCTTCAGTTCTGCTCTGATCTTAGTTATTTCTGGTCTTCTGCTGGCTTTTGAATTTGTTTGATCTTGCTCTTCTAGTTTTTTTAACTGTGACTTTAGGATTTTGATTTTAGATCTTTCCTTGTTTCTCTTGTGGGCATTTAGTGCTGTAAATTTCCCTCTACACATTGCTTTAAATGTGTCCCAGAGATTCTGGTACATTGTGTCTTTGTTCTCACTGGTTTCAAAGAACATCTTTATTTCTGCCTTCATTTCATTATTTATCCAGTAGTCATTCAGGAGCAGGTTGTTCAGTTTCCATATAGTTGTGTGGTGAGTTTCTATCTATCTATCTATCTATCTATCTATATCTATATATCTATATATATATAAAATGTATAATTTTTTAAACTTCTGGAGTACATGTGCAGAACATGCAGGATTACTGCATAGGTACATACATGGCAATGTGGTTTGCTGCCTCCATCCCCCATCACCTATATCTGGCATCTTAATCCTGAGTTCTAATTTGATTGCACTGTGGTCTGACTGTTATAATTTCCATTCTTTTGCATTTGCTGAGGAGTGTTTTACTTCCAATTATGTGGTCAATTTTAGAATAAGTGTGATGCAGTGGTGAGAAGAATGTATATTCTGTGAATTTGTGGTGGAGAGTTTTGTAAATGTCTATTAGGTCCACTTGATCTAGATCTGAGTTCAAATCCTGGATATACCTGTTAATTTTCTGTCTTGCTGATCTGTCTAATATTGACAGTGGAGTGTTAAAGTCTCCCACTATTATTGTGTGGGGGTCTAAGTCTCTTTGCAGGTCATTAAGAACTTGCTTTATGTATCTGGGCACTCCTGTATTGGGTGCATATATATTTAGGATAGTTAGCTCTTCTTGTTGCATTGATCCCTTTGCCATTATGTAATGCCCTTCTTTGTTTCTTTTGATCTTTGTTGTTTTAAAGTCTGTTTTATCAGAGACTAGGATTGTGACCCCTGCTTTTTCTTTTTTTTTTTTTTTTTTCCCTCTCCACTTGCTTGGTAAATCTTTCTCCATTCCTTTATTTTGAGCTTATGTGTGTCTTTGTGCATGAGATGGGTCTCCTCAATACAGCAGACCAGTGGGTCTTGACCCTTTATCCAATTTGCCAGTCTGTCTTTTGATTGGGACATTTAGCCCATTGACATTTAAGGTTAATAATTGTTATGTGTGAATTTGATCCTGCCATTTTGATGCCTGCTGGTTGTTTTCCCCATTCGTTGATGCAGTTTCCTCATACTGTCGATGGTTTTTACAACTGGGTATGTTTTTGCAGTGGCTGGTACTGGTTGTTCTTTTCTATGTTTAGCACTTCCTTCAGGAGCTCATGTAAGGCAGTCTTGGTGGTGATAAAATCTCTCAGCAGTTGCTTGTCTGTAAAGGATTTTATTTATCCTTCGCTTATGAAGCTTAGTTTGGCTGGAAATGAAATTCTGGGTTGAAAATTCTTTTAGGATGTTGAATATTGGCCCCCACACTTTTCTAGCTTGTATGGTTTCTGCCAAGAGATCCACTGTGAGTCTGATGGACTTCCCTTTGTGGGTAATCTAACCTTCCTCTCTGGCTGCCCTTAGCATTTTTTCCTTCATTTCAACCCGGGTGAATCTGATAATTATGTATTGGGTTGCTCTTCTCAAGTAGGATCCTGAATTTGAATATTGCCCTCTCTTACTATGTTGGGGAAGTTCTCCTGAATAATATCTTGAAGAGTGTTTTCCAATTTGTTTTCATTCTTTTCATCACTTTCAGGTATACTGATTGAATGTACATTTGGTCTTTTCACAGAATCCCTTATTTCTTGGATTCTTTGTTCATTTCATTTTACTCTTTTTTTCTCTAATCTTGCCTTTTCACTTTATTTCATTGAGCTGATCTTAAATCTCTGATATCCTTTCTTCTGCTTGATTGATTTGGCTATTGATACTTGTATATTCTTCATGAACTTCTTGTGCTGTGTTTTTCAGCTCCATCAAGTGATTTATTTTCTTCTCTGTACTGGTTATTCTAGTTAGCATTTTGTCTAACATTTCTTCAAGGTTCTTAGCTTCTTTGCAATGGTTAGAACATGCTCCTTTAGCCTGGAGATGTTTGTTATCACCCACCTTCTGAAGCCTGCTTCTGTCAATTCGTCAAACTCATTTTCCATCCAGTTTTCTTCCCTTGCTGGTAAGGAGTTGTGATTCCCTGGAGAAGAAGAGACATTCTGCTTCTTGGAGACTTCAGCCTTTTTGTGCTGGTTTCTTCTCATCTTCATGGACTTACTTACCTTTGTTCTTTGAAGTTGGTGACATTTGGATGGGATCTTTGAGTGGACGTCCTTTTTGTTGAGGGTGTTGGAGGCCAAGGAAAAGCAACTTCTTTAGTCTTGAGTCTTCTAATGTGTCAAAATAATGTCCAAAGTTGTCACGGGCATGGATTTAGCAGAATTGCATTTAAAAGGAAGGTTGTGATGGAGTAGGGTGGGTGAGCTAGGAAAAGAAGGGAGGAGGAGAAAATATAAAGGAAGAGAGAGTAAGACAAACAGATGAGGGTGGTGAGAGAGTGACTTGGGGAGAGAAAATGAGATCAGAGGAGCTAGAAAGAGAAACAAGGAGAAAGAGACAGACACAAGGAGTAAAAGATGGAGGAGTCGAGAGACAAAGTGGCTGGAAGAAGGAGAGGAAGAAGGTGGGTGCTATGCTCTGAATGTGTGTCCCCAAAATTCCTGTGTTGAAAACTAATCCTCAAGGGGGTGGTACTAGCAGGGTGGGGTCTTTGGGAGGTGACTAGTCCTTAAGGGTGGAGCTCTTGTGAATGGAATTCGTGCCTTATAAAAAAGGATCAAGGGAGCCCTCTGGCACCTTTTTACCACATGCAGACAGAACAGCAAGGCACCATCTAAGAAGCCTTCACCAGACACTAAATCTGCTAATGCCTTGATCTTGGACTTCCAGACTTTGGATCTCTGAGTAATAAAACTTTTTTTGTTTGTTTTTATAAATTAACCAGCCTCAAGTATTTTGTTACAACAGTTAGACTAAGGCAATGGAGGAGACAAGAGACAGGGAGAGAGAGAAAGGTGGGAGAGATGGAGAGACAGAGACAGACACAGAGTTGGAGAGACAGGGAGAGGAAGGGGAGGATAAAGAAAGAGAAAGGGAGATGGTAGAGGGGAGGACACTGAGAAGGAGAAAACAGGGAGGGGAGACAGACACATGGAATAAAGAAGAGAGAGCCAGGAAGATGCAGGAGGAGAGAGAGATGAGAGGGAAAAAGAATGACGGGAGGTACAGCCAGGGAGACTAGGAGAAGGAGAGGGAAGGAGAGCAAGAAGGAAGAGTAAGGCCTAGAAAGCATGTGTGACTGACATACAGAAAGTGAGCCACATCCAGGCAGCAGGTGCAGCTCATCAGAGACACAGCAAGACAGACACCAAAAATAGAGACAAAGGAGAGCAAATGGAGACACAGATGAGCGAGTATAAGACAGAGACAGATGTGGATAGAGAGCTACAGAAATGGAGGCAGAAGAAGACAGTGATAGAGACAGAAACCATCCAATATGTTTCGCTTGTTTTATCCATTTATTTATTTATTTGAGATGGAGTCTCACTGCCACCCAGGCTGGAGTGCAGTGGTGCAATCTTGGCTCACTGCAACCTCCACCTCCTGGGTTCAAGCGATTCTCCTTCTTCTGCCTCCCAAGTAGCTGAAATTACTGGCATGTGCCACCATGCCTGGCAAATTTTTGTATTTTTAGTAGAGATGGGGTTTCACCATGTTGTTCAGGCTGGTCCCAAATTCCTGGTCTTAGGTGATCCACCCACCTTGGCCTCCCATAGTGCTGGGATTACAGGCATGAGTCACCATGCGTGGCCCCATTTTGCTGTTTATAGCAAATTGACTACATATAGAAAATATACTCTGCTTTTGCCATACAGCAAATTGGCAGGTCAGGCAAATGCTGAATTTTATCCTATGTGCAAGGTGTCTATTTGAAGTTACTCTAGGGAAAGACAGTTATTGGAAATGGATTTAGAGTTGAATGACATTACCGGCACATCAAAATTGAATAATTTTAGTAAAATATTTCAAAACCTTCTGCAATATTATGCCATTTAACAAAGATGTAGTGTTATAACAAGGAAAAATTAAGTAGTTCCTATTAGCAACACAAATTGATAGAAGCTACATAAACCTGGGAAAGCCCTCACTCCAATGTCGCCAGCCAGAAGTGGCAGGGCTGTAGCAGTCATGATAATTAAAAAGTGTAGGACATTGCCTCAAATGCTGATCTTAAAGAACTGAATTGGGCTAATATTTCACAGGTGTTTTCCTTTGGTTATTTATCAGTAAACAAATATAAATTCTGTAACTTCTCTTGAAAGGAAATTCTGCTTTTTGAGGTTTAAAAACATTATGAGAGCAATGAAGTCAATTGGTGTCATACCTACCGTTACAAGGAGGCAGTTGACAGGCTCTGACTGACTCCGGCTTTTCACCATCACAAGGGTCCCCAGCCCTGCAGAGGACCTGCCTCACCTCCGTTCCTTCACCGCAGGTCACTGAACACTGCAGAGACAAAGGCTGTGGTTACAGACATTTATTCCACCAAGACCATGCAGATACACACACAGACACACAGATCTGGAGTTCCTTCTCTACTAAGTGATGTGGCACAATGGTTTTGAAGACAGATACTACTGAGTTTATATTCTGACTCCATTATTTACTGGCCTGGGCACATTGTTTTTTCTATATGAGACTCATCTTCTTTATCTGGTGGAAAGCTGGGATAATAATACCTGCCTTATAAGATTGTTTTAGGACTAAATGAAGGCAAAGGAAACAATGTATATATAGCAAAATGCCTAGTAAGCATTCCATATGAAAGAAGCCATGATTAGTAACAACGTTAAAATCTTCTGTAGTTTCTAAAAACAATGTTGATGATGTCTGTTCTCCCACCCAATCATGGTACTGAGAGTCCCCACTCCTTTTTCCTTTTTTGGAGACAGAGTCTCACTCTGTTGCCCAGGCTAGAATGCAGTGGCATGATCTCTGCACACTGCACCCTCTGCCTCCCAGGTTCAAGCAATTCCCTAGCCTCAGCCTCCTGAATAGTTAGGACTACAGGTACCCACCATCATGCCCAGCTAGTTTTTTGTATTTTAGTAGAGACGGGGTTTCACCATGTTGGCTATGAATGATCTCAATCTCCTGATCTCATGATCCACCTGCCTTGGCCTCCCTAAGTGCTGTGACTACAGGTGTGTGCCACCACACCCGGCCTCCTCCTTCTTTCTTACAGATGGCAAAATACTCTATGCTCTTAATTCATTGCTCAAATGAAAATTTGCTACTCTAAAACTAAGCTCAGAAACTTCCATGCAATGGTCCTAGGAAGTTTCTGTGGAGGAGGGACTTCTACTGAGACTGATAATGAGTTATCATTATAGTCCGATGTGGGTGACCTGCACTTGTGCTGTGGTTTGAATGTCCCCTCCAAAACTCATGTTGAAATTTAACTGCCATTGTAACAATGTTGAGCAGGACCGTTAAGAGGTGAGACCTTTCAGAGGTGATGTATGGGCATGGGTTAATGCTATTATCTTGGGAATGGGTTAGTTATTGCAGAAATTGGCTCCTGGTAGAAGGATCTTCTGTGTCTCTCTTGCATGCCTCCTTGCCATGTAATACCTTCTGCTAGAGGACCCCCATCTCCAAGTGCCAATGCCACACTCTTGGACTTTGCATCCTCCAGAACCATAAGCCAAATAAGCCTTTGTTCTTGATGAATTACCCAACCTGTGGTATTCTGTTAAAGCAGCTTGTCTCTTCCTTTCTGGGCCTACTCTCCACTTCCTCATTAGTTCTCTGCTTTTTGATGCCCTTTCCTCCTATAAACTCTTCTCCTATGACCACAAGATTTCTTATTTTGAGTCTTTAGAAATACCTAAGACAGGTGGTAATAGCTGACAATGCAACATTGAGTCTGCCAATTAACAAACATCATCTGGACAGGTATGCTGAGCACTAGCTGAGTACTGAGGAAAGAAGGCATACCATTTTTGAGAAATGTGTGTACTAGTGGCAAATATAGATTCATAGATTCAAAGATCAGAGTTATAATACTCTGTCATGAACAGCATGATAAAGTGAAGTTTTACTGCCTTTCAGATGTAGAGGAGGAACTGCCAGGAAAGGTACCACCTGCAAGGTGGTCATTTGGACTACGGAGATGAGCTTTGGTCAAGAAGGAGAGATTATTAGATAGGAGGACAGGGAGTCTGAGTCAGCTGAAAGGTAGGAAGCTCAAACAAGCATGGTCTGGAAGAGTGAAAAGTTTACTCGAACTGAGACAAAGAGTTAGAATGAAGAAAGAATAAGAGGAGATAGTGCAGTGCCAAGTGGGGCTGGGCCCTGCCTTCTGTATCAGAGGTTTGGAATTTATCCTGAGGGAATAGAGAAGTCAACAAAAACATGAGACAAAAGAACAATCATCTTTCAGACTTCTCCATGTTACAAAACACATAAACATGGTTTGCCCCCTACCAACTAAACATAAGTACACAAACTATTTTAAAGCATTAATTTTTCCTAACACCTGCAGTTAATTACAAAATATGCAGTAGTTTCTCAGTTCATATGAAGCCTAACTGATGTTTAAGCCAAACTAAAATATCTACACGTGCTTACACACACATGCACAGAATTCACACACCTACCTCACTCCAGGGTCCTGTTTTCCACTGGGCCGGGCAGGGCACTCTGTTACAGGGCCGGCGGCTCTCAGGGCGGTCACCCACGCAGTACTTGCTGTGCACAGAGCGGTTGGTGCCATCGTGGAGTGGCTGAAGGCAGCGCACGGTGCGAAGCTGATAGCCAGAACTTCCACAGGTTTTGGTGCAGTGTTCCCACTCTTCTGCTACCCAGCTGTGGGTGCGGGGGGTTCATATTGAAATTACCACTGGGATGTATAGGGTACACATGCCCGCATGGCAAAGCCTAGACTTTTCTGCTCTCTGAATAACCTGCAACCTAGTGGGGCACATTGCAGTTCAGGAAGTGGTTTCAGAAAGACGGATATAATGGATAACTTTTTAACAATAGTAGCCTGAAGCTAAATTTGTAATGCTCTACTATTTTTTCTGCCTCTCAGTGACTCTGAAACCTCCTCCTTTCCTAAAGGAGGATCTACAGAGGGTTTCTGAAACTCATCTTAAAGTTTTCCTGTTAGATTTAGGCACGAAGGCAATTTTCAAGGATAGCAACAACTGTAGAAATAAAACAGTCATATCAGTTAAAATATTTAAACACGAGTGAACTCTATAGAGCTCATAAAAATTTGCCCTCTTCCAACCCAGAAGACATGAGGTTTATCCTCTGCAGAACATGACAAGAGGTAAGGGTGGTGTGGATCAGAGCTGGGTAAAACCTGTTCACATGAATGCTCCTGATAGAAATATTTCCAGAAGCATTTTCTAAAATATTTACCAGGGGACATTCCCAAATTCTAGTGTCAATGTCAGTGTCCCAAGCACTCTACAAATCAGCTGCGGATACAGCAGTACACACAGTTCTCCATTACACATGGTTACCAAGCCCCAAAGGGCTGCCACCATTGACTCCATCTGGTTATGCAATCTGTCTGTATATAATTCAGGCTAAAATTAACTTTGCCTTCCAAAGTTACTTTCCCTCTGCAATTTTTTTTCTTTCCATATATGTGAGGCACCAAAATATAACCATGCTAAAACCTTGGCAGTCTTTGGTATTCACAGTTTAAGCCTGCTTTAGCTTGTCCAACTGGCAGTAAAATGTATCATGGCAACTGGACTGAGGAATTTTGTTCAATTTTGAAGACCTCGGTGATGATTCTCTTTTGAAGACAAATACTATACTTCACAGATATAGGTACTTCTGATTACCTTCATTCCCTCTTAAGATCCAAGAATGAAAGTAAATGACAAAAAAATTTGAAATCTAGAAAGGCAAAGAAATTTGAGAGGAAGTCACAACAACATAATTTTGGAAGCTAGAAAACAGATGGTCATATGGCAGCGAACTCAGCAGACCTAAGAAGAAAGAAGTCCAACTCAGCAGTACAAGGTGAAGAGCAAACAGACTTGCACTGCAGAACTTTAGAAATATTGAGGGATTAGAGACCCCAGATACAGTGTGAGCTGTGAAAACAAGGGTGAAGCCAGGATTGAAAGCAGGAGAACTAATGAAAAGTCTGTTTGGAAGCAGTTAGACCTCCTGATTCTTATCCATACAGGGCGACTCACCCTCCTCCAACGCAGAAGAAGACATGAGGTTTATCCTCTGTAGAAAGTGAACCAGACTTAACTGGATATAATAGGCATGATCAAGAGAGAAGGAGACCATGGTGAAAACAGAAGATTATGTAAAAATCCATCTGTGAGATGGTGAGACCGCTTTAGACACCTATACACATAACATTTCTAGAACAGCACTTAAAATGGCTTACACTCCCTCGGCAAGAAATTGATTCTGCTCTATGGAATCTATTTTATAAGAAAAGGCCTAAATATACAACTAATTGAGGGCCTTAAAACGGCTGAGTTGGATCACCCCATAGTTCAGCTCACCAGGTACAACTGCAGAGCAAACTTCTAATCAGCCTTCTAAACACGGCATTTTTATACATGTATGAACATTCCAGGATCACCACACAGAAATCCTCTAATGTCAGTGATAGAGGTGGGGTGGGTGTATGTAGAGAAATTGAAGAAAATTACTCAAAAGAAATAATTTAGAAACAGGAGATGAATCTTTGATGTTCTAAAAGAGATAAAAGACTATATTGCATCTGTGAAATAAATATCAAATGCCTTGATAAATACTTGAATATTAACAATATGATAAAACAGAGCTCTTGAATATTAAAAATGTGATAGCAGAAATGAAGGATTCAGCAAATGCAACAGTGAACAATAGGAGAGAAAAGCCAAGCTACAAATGTCCCAGAAAGAAAAAACACTGAAAAACATAGGGCAATTAAAAAAAAATACAAGAAAATCTTCCAGAGATAAAAGTTATCCATTTTATATTTTAAAAAGTTTGTGTCATTTTCCACAATATAGGTGAACCTGGAGGATGTTATGCTAAGTGAAATGAATCAGACACAGAAAGACAAATAGCATGTGACCTTCACTGATATGTGGAATATAAAACAGTGGAACTCATAGAAGTAAAGAGTAGAATGGTGGTGATTAGGGGCTTGGGTGAGGATGAAGGGGTAATGGAGAGATGTTGGTCAAGGGGTACAAAGTTTCAGTTAGAAGAAATATGTTTTTGAGTTCTAAACAGCATAGTGTCTATGGCTAACAATTTTGAAATGGATATTTCAAAATTGCTAGGAGGGCAGATTTTAAATGAGTGCACCACCAAAAAAATGATAAGCATGTGATAGGTTAATTAGCTGGATTTAATCATTCCGCAACGTATGCATACATCAAAACATTACATTGTACCCCATAAAAACATTTTTTATTTTTCAATTAAAAAACTCTACAAGTACACAGCAAAATGATGTGTAAAAATGGGCACCAAGTCCATTTCAGAACACTAGAAATAAAATGAAGGTCCTACAAACTTTGAAAGACAGACCAAAACATGTCACAGAGAAAGCACTGAGAATCAGAATGGCAACTGACTTTTCAACAGCAACACCTGAATGCAGAAAATAACAGAACAATATTTTTGAGTCTAAAGGATGATATAGTTTAGAATAACAGGAAATCCCACAGAAGAGAAAGGTAGTTGGAATTCCTAGGAGGATGATGAAAGGAAGCCCTAGGTAAAAAGTCCAGGCTGGAGCTGGAACACAGAGAGCTCTCTGTTCTCTAAGACTCTCCTGTGTCTATGGAGATTAAAGTGACAGGATACTGGGATGTTTAGTATTTAGAGGCGACTGATACTGAGAGAGTTTGGGAATGAATTGGGGAAAAGTACTAGAAGATCAAGTACATATAATCAAGATATTCATTTATTCTGAAATAAACAATTTCACAAGAAGGAAATCAATAACCAGAGGATGCTATGTGACTCAGGTATTAAAAGAGATACATGTTAATATAAACCCTGCATATTGCAGTCAGTAAAAGGTATGTTAGGTCAGTATTGGAAGTAGCAGGGAAGGAAAAAGTGTGGCCTGTGGTTTTGTATTTATGGAGGGATTGTAAAATAATACAATCTTCAGATTTCACAGTGAAAATTAAATGTATAATGTCTAACCTTACCTCCCCAAAAGTCAAGGAATAGAAGCAAAAACATTTTACATAGAGAGAAGGAAGAAAGTAATTACCAAATGTCAAAATATAATGGTTGAAAGTGGTTTTTTGAGGAACAAGAATGTGGTGAAAGGCAGAGAACTACAGCTTTATGTAATTCCTGTAAAGTGACTTGACTATTTAAACCGTGTATATATAGAGCTTTGACTGAAAATGAAATAAAAACTAAAAAGAGCTAAAGGCAGTTAAGTTCTGATTTTGACTTCTAGATATGATAGTTAAAATAAATGCTTACAGTGGATGTGTACATTCCTGAATATTGCACATTCGTCTAATAGGTTTCGGCTTTTTGTTGGCCTCACAGAAGCTGCGATGGACCATTTTATTATCACTTTTCCTACGGCATCCATATTTAGTGTACTGGAAACCTGTAAAAGGAAATAAATTTCTTTGGATTTAATCACTTATTCATGCTGTTAGTTACTTGATTATTCACTCACTCATTCATTCATTCAGTAAATATGTATTGAGTGCATACAATTAGCCAATCACTTCAGTAGGTGCTGAAGGTCCCAAAGAACATTAAATAAACAAAAAATTTTGCCTTTTCAGAACATATGTTTGATAAATATTCCAACTGCAAACCTGTTAAAGAACTAGGCTCTAAATATACACAGTCCAGTGTGAGAGACAGATCTGAAAACCACTGTGACAATATCTAGGGACCTATTAGGCTTTTAGAGAAGTAAGTAAAGAACTTACAGTAGAGGGCAGCAAAGGAACACAGAGGGAAGAGATCTGAAACTTGGAGGAGGGGAGGGGAAAGCTTCGAGGATCCACAGTTTGCTTCAGCAGAATACTGCAGTTCAAACAGTATGGGGTAAAAGAAATGAAGCAGAATTATTCTCTAAGCAAAGGAAATAACATATGGAAAACTGTGGCATCTTCAGATGGCTGAAGTATCATGTGTGAAGAGGGCAGGAGACAGGGAAGGATCAGATCTTGAAAGCCTTCAGTGTCTAACAAGTGTTTGGACATTATTCTTGAAGGTTATAGGGAGTTACTGAGGGTCTCTCAAGCATCAACTTTTATATTTGTAATTATGTCTATATATCTGAAAAAAATCCAAACTAATCCAAAAATTGTAAGGAAAAAAAAACAATGAATACTTGTATGCCTTGCATCTAGATTGATTTTTTGTGACTATGTCACCACATTTGCTATATTTCTTCATATATGCGTATGTGTGTAAATACATATATAATTTTGCTGAACCACTTGAAAGTTGCAGACATCCTGATCCCTCACTGCGAAATGAATATTTAAGCACAGATTTCAGAAGTACATTCCCTTATATAACTATAATTCTTAAAATCAGCACATTTGACATAGATATAATGCTATTATTATGTAACATACAGACCCATTCAAAAATGTTCAGTTGTCCCTAATGATGTTATTTGTAGCAATACTTTTCAAATCAAGGATCATATGTTGCATTTAACTGTTACGTCTTTAGCCTCCATCAATCAGAAACAATTACTGAACCTCTTTGTCTTATGGCATTACTATTTTTGAAAAGTAAAAACCATTTGTTTTATAAAATGTTCCAAAATTTGGACCTGTTTAATTGTGTTCTAATGATAAAATTGAGGTTATTCACTTTTGGCACAAATGCTACATAAAACAGTGATGTGTCTTCAGGGCAACATATTGGAAGACTGAAGGATTTTAATCTGGGAAATGATATAATTTACCATTCATTTATTCATTCATTCAAAAAAATTACCCTGTAAATTAAGGAAAAGAAGAACATCAATGTTAGTTGACCAGCTAAAAGGCTATTGCAATAATCGTCCCTCCTAATATGGTGACTGAAGTCTGGTGAAGAAGGAATAGATGTAGTAGATATGAAGAAGGTATATCTGATAAATATTATGACCAAGCAAATGTTGAGAGTACAGCAGAAGGGAGGATCTGAATTAAATAAGCATCTAAAATAATTAACTAAAAATATTGTATGCCTCCCTCAAGAAAACAGTTTGGAAATACAGGCTTGAACTTAAAATTATAAAATAAATAATTTATACAAGTATTGCCTAATACAATTTTTTTGTTCCCAATTATCTGCTGTCATTTTTGTAACCGCCTCTTGCCTTCTCTTACCCATGTGGGGAGAATTGGTAATGGAGCGCTTGTTTAGAACTAGAGGAATGGATGATGGGAAAAATTGAGAAACATTGAGCCCAGCTTAATGGACTCTGGAGAGGGAACAGAGGCAGCACAGTGCAGGGAGTGAAAGCATGTGTTCAGATGCCAGGTTACCTGGGTCTGAATCCTATGGGCTCTGGGAAATTATCTTCTGTGTGCTTCAGTTTTGCTATGACTTAATCAGAGATAACAATAGTACCAATCGCAGGGGCCATTGTGGGTATTCATGCATTGATATAAAAAGCATTTAGAATAGTAGCTGGTTTCAAATACATGGCATAGTCAGTTACACAGTCATGTAACCAATAGCTCTTTTATTAATCCTGACAGAACTGCAGAGAGATATGGAAAGTAAAAGTAGAGAAGAAGAAAGGTGAGGATCAGAGTACAGTGAATTTGGGAGAGTTCTGGAGTTTGGTAAGAATAAAGTGATTAAGGGTACCAGGACAGTTAATGCAAAACAAAGAACCTGACAGAAAAGGGCAAGAGGATTTTAAGGTCTATCACTGTTATGAAAGGAATCCTATTATTTGCTGATACTGAGATTTTAGTAAACACGTTTTGTATTGATGTTTTGGTGGCTATGTTTGGTGTTTCTCAGACTGTGGCCTCGATTAGAGACAGCCCTAAAGGTAGAAGCAAGATTGACTTTTATATGCATTACATTTTAATATAATAAATGTGTTCAGTTGTTACCTCCACCACAGGGTTTGGAACACTGAGACCAGCTCTTCAAAGCCCACTCAAAAGTATCTAATTCTTCCTGGATGACATTGTTGCTGTTGATTGTAGGTACAGAGTCTTCATGGATGATGTACTTGTATGTCAGGCTAGAGCGGGTATCATTCTCTTGAGGTATAATCTAACATACACAAGAAATCAATATGTAAATCACCTGAGGGTTTTAAATTTTGAGTGTAAAATTATAAATATTTCACAATAATGCTCATATTAAAACTGAAAACTTTCAGTTTCAAAAATTATGTTATTTCTATCAACTATAGTGCAAATGTGACCTGTTTAAGAAAAAGATGAAATAGCTCTAAAACTTTTAACATAAAAGTATTTAAAAATATATACACTGAAAAGTAAGAGTTTGTATTATAAAAATAATAACTTTATAAGATTCACTATAGGTTTCCTTAAATTATACCAGTTTTTAAATGCAGTTTAAAATTGTTTTCAAAGAAAATTGTTTTGTTATGATGATAAAGATAGCAATGTTCCCTCCAGAAAATATATATATTATGAAAAAATATAAAGAAAATAATCATAATTCTACCTAAATGGAGAAGACCAGTCACTTTTATTATTGTGATAGTTCCTCAAGATATTTGCATGTGTGTGTGTGTGTGTGTGTGTACAGACATATATACTTTTCTGGCCTTGTTTATTTCATGTAATGTGTTATGCACATTTCTCAAGATAGTACATATTCTTTAAAAATATGCTTTTGGAGTGTGGAATGATGGTCATTGGAGACTCAGAGGGGTTGGGAGGAATGGAAGGGGGTTGAATTGAATAATGGGAACTTGCTTGGTGGGTACAATGAGCATTTCTCCAGTGATGGATCCACTGAAGGTCCTTACTTAACCACAACGCAATATATCTATGTGGCTAAATTGCACTTGTACAAAAAAAGTTAAAAAAAGAAAACATACTTTTAAATGTCAGCGTGGTCTTTAATCCTAAAAGTGTTATGTATTATTGTTAATAAGTATGTGGTCACTCTTGAATATTTGTATTGATTAGAAATTTTCCCTGCATTTATGGGGATTTCTGGCTTTTCTTCGTAGACTAAAGGTCACAAATGCTTTTTATAGTTCTAGTTTGTATGATAGACTGGCGACTGGTCCTCCAGAACAGTTAGAACAATTGTTATTTTAATGAGAGTGTATGAAAGTGGTCATTTGACACTACATATACAATTTTCAACTTCATTAATTGGATGGGGAAAATATGATTTTAATTGTCCATTACTTATATTTTGAATACTGTACATTGCATGACTGACAGTCCTATTTTTTATTGGAACTGTATTTTTTCTTTCCTAAGTAATCTGTGCACTCAAGATATTAATCTCTTTTTGTCATAAGAGTTGCAAATATTTCCTCAGTTTGTCTCTTGCCTTTTAATTTTTTTCAGGGTAAAGTGGTCTTTTAAAAAATTGATTGATTTTCACATAGCTTTCATAGGATTTTACTAATTATGCAAAAGAAGAAATGCTATTCATTGGTATTCTCAACCTAAATTTTTAGAACTATCTTTTGTTTGAGAAATGAGGTGATAGTAAAACCAGTGGGGTAGAGGATCTGGTTCCCTGGCTTTTATTCTCTTTTTTTTTTTTCTTTGTTTTTAAAACAGCATTAAAAATCAAGCACCATTTGAACCATCCTTACACTCTAGCCAGATATCTAATTCTTTCAGCCCCAGACAATGATCCAGGACTCAGAATGGAAAAGAAATGTCATAATAATAGAGCATTGCTTGTCCACACCTTCCTCTCCTAGCTGCAAATCTCCCCCTTGTATCTCCAGCCCACACCACTTGCTGTGGTCAGGTTATAATCAGCGGGCCGGCCTTGAAGCATCTATCATGATGTTAAGCACCAGGTCTCTAAAGCCAGATACCCATGTTGCTAGAAAAGAATACAATATAATTATAGCCATGTGAAGCAGAGCTTCTGACCTCCAATCACTCCTATTTAAAATAATCTAAAACTTTGGTTAACATATAAATGTGGATAATTAATTTTTGACATAATTGAAAAGGCATTTTCATAGACAAAGGACAGTCTTTTAACAAATAGTGCCAAAACAACTGGACATTGTGGTAGTTTAAGAAATATATCTAAGATTAGGTAAAAAGGGACTGAAAATTCCGTCTTGGTTTCACTGTCCCATGTTCTCTCTCACTTGAGTCACCTGCTCTAGTGGGAGTCAGTGCCATAATGTCAGGACGTATAAGCATCCTATGGAGAGGCTTAGGTGGCAAGGAATCAGGGACTGCTAGCCACCACATGGAAAAGTTGGGAAACAATCATCTGAGACCTTTCAGGAGCAATGTGACTAAGCTTGGAAGCAAAGTAACCCAGCCAAGCTCTGAGATGACTGTAGCCACAGCTGACAGCAAACTTATGAGATACTCTATGCCAGAAATAATTAAGTGGTGTCCAGATACATGTTTCACAGAAACTATAAATACTGCTTGTGTTCAGCCACCAAGTTTGAGGGTAATTTGTTTTATAAAAATAGATACTAATATAGACATCCACATGCAAAAATAAGGCCCTAACACTTTATGCAAAATTAACCCAAAGTGATTAATATACCTAAATGTAAAATGCATGGCTCTAAAACGTATACCAAAAAAAGTAGGATACAACGTTTTGATGCTGGATTAGACAAAAACTTTCATAACACCAAAATCTTGATCCACAAAAGAAAATACTAATAAACTGGACTTCAGTAGAGCTAAAATATTTTGCTCCACGAAAGAAACTACTAAAAGAATGAAAAGACAACCTATGGAATGGAAGAAAACATTTGCAAATCATGTATTTCACAGAAGACTTATATTGAATATACAATGAGCTCTCAAAACTCAACAAAAAGAAAATATAACAACTTTAACAATGGGCAAAAGATTCGAACAGATATTTCAAAAGGGAACTAATTTTCAGAGGAAAAAAAGACTAAAATTTGAGTGGAGCAATTTGATTTTAGATTAGTATAATATTGTATAGGAAATCCAATAAATGAAAATTCTGGATATAACGGAAACTAACAATAAATTTCAAATCAAGTAGATGGCTTTTGCTTTCATCCATGAGGGAGTAATGGAGCTGCCTTCCTGATATTAAAAGCTATAAAACTGGACAAAATATGTGCAGAAACTTTTTTTTTGGACAGTGGATAACATGACAAAGGACACTAATCCTTGTAAGAAGAGAAACAAGCCAGGCCTTATTCCTGACAAGGGCCAGGTCTGAACTCTGGCACAGGTAGGGGGGCCCAAGCCCAGCCCAGCCATCTCACCGAGCTGAGGAGATAGGTTAGAGTTTGGAACTTTCAAGTCAGGGCACTAAAGAAGAGGGGTCTGCTTAGAGAGATGATCTAGAAATCTACATGGGCCATGACTGAGGATTGGTCTGTGTATCCCTGGCCAAGACACCAGGTGGTCCACAGTGAGGGGCTGCTGATGGTGGGACAGAGATACCAGAAACCAGGCATGCCTGAGCATCATAGGGGTTCTCGACCAGCTAGAATGAAGAGGACTCACTAAAACTTCAGGTATTCAGTTAAGAAAGGCCATACTATTGGAAGAAGGACAAAACTGAAATAGACTAGCCATAAGGAAGAATAAAACTAGGCTTAAAGGATTGGGATGATCTGACAATAACTTAACTACCTGCCAGAACAAAACCAGACACCTTACAATTTAGCTTCCAAAATGTCAAGTATACAGGAAAAAAACTGTAAGAAGCATGAAAATGTGACCCATAAAAAAATAGACAACATGAAGACCCAGAACTTAAAGGGTAACTTAGATGTAACGAGTGAGTATTACGAAAATTTCAATGGAAGAATGAAAGTTAAAAAAAAAAAAAAAAAAACCCACAAATGGAAATTCTAGCAAAGAAAAGTACACCATCTGACATGAAAAATTTACTGGATAGGCTCAAGGACAGATTGGAGATCACATAAGAGAAACAGTGAACTTAGAGCTCAGAAGAAATAATCCAATCTGAAAAAGTTATTTTAAAAAAGATAGATTATAAAAGGATGAACAGAGCCTGAGACTTGTGGAACAACTTCAACTGATTTAAATGAGCCCTAGGAGTAAAGAAGAGAGAGATGGGATGGGGGTGAGGGTTTGGGAAAACAACTAACTAGAAGACATCATGGGAAATTTACCCAAATTTGGTAAAAACCATCAACCTATAAAGCCAAGATTCTCAGTGAATCCCAAGCATAAGATATACAAAGAACACCGTAAACTGAGTATATCATAGTCAAACTGCTAAACCAACAAGACAAAACAAGAAGATGAAGAGAAGAATCTTAAAAAGAGGCCAGAGAAAACTGACACATTCTATGCAGTGCAGCATCAATGAGGCTTCTCTTCATATATGATGGATTCTAGAAGACAATTGCTCTGTAAATGAGTGAAAGAGGGCTCCTGTACATGGTGGGCCCTACATCATTTCTTCACAGCAGGCTGAGCTCAATAGTCCACTGCTGCCGAACACAATCTTGTATACATCCAGTTGTTTTTAATGCTGATCAAAGGAGAGGAGTTTTAGCCTTTTAGGGACTGCCTGCTTTGCACAGCACTAGGAAACTGCATCCAACATCTGCTAGATACGAGTAAGACCTTGTGGCTATAAGAACCTCACGCTGCTGCCTCCCTTGGAGCCCTCTGATCCCCAGACTCTCTGCTGTGCTGCTAAATGACACCACCTAGGCACTAAACCATCTCAGATTCCCCTCTTCCTCAGAAGTTGCCTTGCCCTTCTCTCCTCTGGGTAGTGGTCCTACTTGCAAACCTGCTGAGGCCTCACCCACATAAAGTGTGTGTGTGCTACTGCCACCTTGTGGCCATATCTTTTCTTTGATCAGCCCTCAAACCCGTGGAACTCGCTACATCATAAAAACACAGTGCTGAAAGAAGGGAAAAAAAAAACCAAAAATCTAGCAACCCAAGTTCTATATATAGTAAAGATATCCTTCAAAACTGAGGGTGAAATAAATATATTTTCAGACCATTGAAAGCTGAGATACTTGCCAATACACCCACACCACAAGAAATGCTAAAGGAACATCTTTATACTGAAGGTAAATGATACTAGATGGAATGTTAGATAAACAAAGTAGAATGAAAAGCATCTGAAATGCCAACTATGTGGGCAAATACGAAAACCTACTTTTTTTTAGTGTTGTCTTTAAAAGATAACTGATTATTTAAGTCAAAAATCAGAGCTGCATTATTCAGTTTACAATGTATATATAGTAAATTACATGACAATATTGCACAGAGTAGGGGGAAGATAAATAGAATTTTTTAAAAGCAACTTATTTTTCAATGTTCAAAGTACATGTAATGTTCAATGTAAAAATGTTTTCAGATAAATTAATTATAAAATAAGCTGAACCAGGTATACCATGAGCCTGTAATGCCACATACCAAAACAATAACAGGATCATGTAAAGGTCCGTCCGTGTGAAGACTTTCAATGTCATCTTCAATGTTATAATCCCACTCCACACCAAGGTCTATGAAGGTCCGCGACTTGGCTTCCTCCCCTTTGCCATTTAAAATATAATGGCCTGTAGCCTGGTTCTTAATAGCTAAAGGAAGGAAAATGAGTAAATGGCATACATTTTATTTTATCAACTGCTGAAAATTCTCCGCAAGTCTATCCTTTCTACATATCAATGACCACGTTTCTTTATTAGTAGCAAGCAATCAAAATGGATGTTAGTTCTGATATTATTCCTATTGTTTTCATTAGGCATTCAAAACTCTCAAGAAGCATTCCTAACTAGTCAAAAATATGGCAAGATGGTTAAATAGGCAAAAGTAATGTTTGCAAATAGTCCCATTTGAAAACATCATCAAAGAGGTTAATAGTTTCTAAATCATTTGTCCTATATATTTCCTTAGAAAACTGGGAATATTTTTTAAATGATAGGTACTTTTTCAATAATTAACAGAAACAATTTATGCTAGGATAGCATGTAACTAATGGTTTATTTATTGCATATTTTTTTAAAGTTGGTGAAAATATTTATAGTCACCCAACATAGTTGAAGTAATTTTTCAGGCCAACAATTTAGTCTCATGATTGGAAAATTCCAGAGCCATATTACCTACTCATATAGTTAGAAAAAGCTGCTTACTGCTAATGGAATCCTTAATGTATTATAGATTTATTATATATTATAAAATGAAATAAAATGCTGGTTTAGTGAGTAAAAAATAATGAATGGGATTTTAAATTTTGGACTTATTTATCAGCATATGATGTTAAGTTAGAAAGAAAAATTTCACATTACTACCATTATTGAAAATGTATAGAAAAGATGAGTAATTTTAATTAAATGTATTTATTCTTTTTGAGCTTTAAACTAGTCTAATTTTTCCGATGGTAATACCATGAATTCTAGGATGAAAAATAAGCAATTTTAAATACCAGAGAGAGAACTACAGCTGATTGCTAGACTATTATGACATTTAGTAGTGAATATAATTTAAATGTGTTTTAAAATTCTATGAACACCATAAAGCAATTCATTTTTTAAAGTTACAACTGAAATAAAATGATTTGCTACAAATTTTCATGGAGTTAATACATAATGTCTTAGTTTCAGAAATTATCTTAGTGTTCTTATAGGCCAAGGAATAGGAAAGCTATGTTTACACTTGTATATACATTTTAAATTTAAACCTCTAAAAAGTGACATTTCCATGTAATCTTCTCATAAAAAAAAAAAAACTCCTTGTAGAAATTATAATCAGCTCTGCAAATGGATCTGCATGTGCCAGTCAAAAACCTGACACACGTCAGATATTAGAATAATTTAAGATCAGACTAGTAAAATTCACCTGTGGTTGCTTTTCAAAGAACGTAAAATGCAATAAAAATAAGGCAATGTACAGTATTGCATCAATATGAGAACTCCTGTGTCAACATAAGTGTGATGAATTTTTCTGATATTCCTTAATTTATTGCATTTTATGAACGTCTTTCTTTTATCCCCCATTGTAGAGTAAAAAATGTATAACATATAAGCTTATCAAATGATTTTTTCCCACATATAATTAGGAACCAACCCCAGTTTCTAAAAAAAAAAAAATTAAAACTCTATTTTTTCACTATTTCTTGTTTTAAAGTAAGCATAGTTGAGAGAAATTACCAAAAAAACACCTACATAATATTCAATTAATTCATTTATATATATTTTGACTCTTACATATGCACATATATGTAAGCACATATATGTATGCACATATATGTACCTATACATATATCTACATTTATGATTTCTTTGACATTTCAATGTTTCGGTGCATAGTAAAGCAGAGCCAGCAGACAGAAACACTTACCAAGAATGTGAGGAGAAGCCTCGTCTTCTTGGATTAACACATGTCTAGCCCCAGGGGGTATAGCAAACATCTTAAGGTACCCTTTGCATGTGTAGCAAATATTGTAGGAAGCCAAGAAAAAAACAAAAGCAACAACCATGGGTTAGCTGAGCACTACATTCTTACTGCTTCTGCATGCAGAAGATGGCATCCATAAACTTAAAGAAGCAGTTTCAGAAATTAACTTCAAAGCAATGGTAGCTTTTGTGGCATCTGAAATGGGATTAGAGGAAAATGTTTTTTCTCATTAAAGAGGAAATAAGTTAATCTTCTTGCCAACTTATTAGTCACTTGTCTTGCATTGACCTTCAAATGATGTCAACAACAATTCAGGCAAATACTATACTTTCTTGTGTCCCTCGGTGTGGTTCTAGTTTTATAAATCATCCTTTTGAAGTGGAGTCAATTTTTAGTGAAACTTAAGTGGTGAACTCTTTGGGATATGTTATCTGCCTACTTGTTATTTTAAAAGTCTAAGAGGCAAGTATAGATAGCTAAACTTCTAATTATTAAAATATTTTTATACTTAAAATCCTTCTTTTAACGGAGTTAAATTCTAACGGAGTTACAACAGAAAAATGAGTGCTTTCATTTTTCTTGTGACCAGTATTAATTTTAAAGCTTTAGAGAAGTTTTATATGACTATTTTAACCAAATCTACAACATGGATTTTAAACCACTTGATTGGTAAATCTGTGCAAATTGTGTAACACATTGCCTTTATATGCACTCGAACCTCAAAACCTCCTATGCCAGAAATTAAAAAATCAATATGATTAATTAGTTGCTTTGGGTTTTAAAATCATCTATCACTCCTATTACTGTAAATGTCATATATTACATACTATGTTGATATTATCACATCCTAAAAATTATCTTATAATCATTTAGAATGAATATTGCTAACATAAATGAACAATAGTCAGGTCAATTAGAACAAATGTTATACATCTCAGTAGCATATAAATAAATGAATATAAGACGACTATGTAACCTACACCTTCTGTACATTATAAAACATCCAGTACATAGTCTATGGAGAGTATTGACAGAAATCCAGTTATCCACAATTATTGATGCAATCAGAAGTGTTTTTGTCATTTGTATATGTACAATAATATATACCTGTGATGAGATTTACCTTTTTCACAATATTTATTAGTGAATAAATATTACTAACTAAATAAAGTGGTCCTTTTGGGATCAGGGTATTCAGCACTTTATCTGGGGATAAAGTCTAACACATGAAATGTACCATGTTTGCCTGAGTATACAGTGGCTAGAAGGAACATGCTTAAGATGCCAAGTACAGCAAAACAGCTTGATGCCATTTATGGATGCCCATCTTTCTGCAGTTTGCTACAACTTACCCAGGACATTTTTAGCTTCTCTTGTTTCAGCTAGAGAAATATTACGAGCTCCTTTAGGTAAAGTGAAAGCGCCTCTTGTCTTCCCTTAAATAGAATGTCTTTAATTAGTGGACGGTTCATGTTTATCAAAGTCTTGCTGTTTCATTGACTATCCCATAAGCCATATATTTTATTAGGCAAGATATAAAATATGTTCTGTAATTTTATGTGTCAAAGTCACAATGCATTTGTAATAGATATTGCCAATAAACTGTTAATAGTCAATGAAAGTAAGACTGAGCATGAAAGTAAGACTAAATAGATGATTTGAAGTTGAATACTTGCAGATTTCATTTTCCAGCAACTTCAATTCTTTATGGCACCTCTTGCTTAAATGTTTTCCTGTTGGAAAAGGTTAATTAGTCTATTAAATCACTATGACGACAACATTAATGCAAAGATATGGATGTTAGATTATCTTTGAATGGTTTGAATTGATGTGACAGATGAAAATTTTCTAATGTTCTTTTGTCCTTGATTTGCAAGTTTAGCATAATGTTTGAGCTATCTGAAAAACAGTACCAATATCTTAAATTATACATATATAGAATGAATGAACATGGCAAAACCTTTTCTTTACAAAAATTCACTGTGGAAATAAAACAAAATGAATTATTTTACATCCAAAAGAAAATTTAAAAACTCCAGTAAAGAAAGCACAGTACATTATTTCACAGCAAGATGGAGAAAATTACATTTGATTCCACTAAAACATAATACATATATATAATTATATTTCTAGTTGCTTTAATAAAATAATGCAATCAGTCAGAAATAGCAATATTTGCTTTAACAATTTTCAAAGTACAAAACATGGTAATTTATCACACAGGAATAGCAAAGACATGTGCAAAAAGAAAAACATTAGAATATAGTCTCATAGCTCTGCCTTCTTAAATATATCAGAGAGCAAAGCTGATTAACTTGAATTAGGTACCTGGGGTATAATGGGAGTAAAAAAAAACTAAAAGTATTTTATCATTCAGATGAAGGCTAACTTTTTTATAAAAGGAAAAATTATCATCATGACAATATGCTTAATGTAAACCACATTTCTTTTTGTTTTACTTTCATGATTTTATATGATAGCAACAGCTCTTTGGAAGATATGAAAATGTTAAGCAAACACCACATCAAGTATATCTTTAAGTGCTGAATTCCCAGAAACATTTCCCCAATAAATCCTTATTGAATAACTGCATACTATCTGTTATGAACCCAAGAAATTAATCAGTAATAAATGTTTGCATAAACACCTTTTATGAAAATTCCAATGAATATTACTAAACTATGGATAATTTTGCCTATATTTGTTGCATGAAGACAGCTTTTTGTTCCACTTTTGAACCTTCAGTGTATGTCTAAGTCCAAGTTATTGACTACATAACAAGCATAAACATTTACAGAGATGAGCAATGACATCTTGGGTTATTTTTTGGTTTTTTTAAATTTAAACAAATATAAAATTTAAACAAAATTTATAATTTTGTTTAAAGTAAATTTTTTAAAATGAGAAATATAGATCCTAGATTCCTAGATTTATAAACAGAATAGAATTGTTCGCTTTTAAAATAAAATAAGTAAAACTAATGTAACGTTTTAAAGGTTGTATCTAAAGTTTTGTAAGTTTTAAACTCCTGCTCAATAATTTACTGGCAACAGGAATTCAAAATAAACATTAGTTCTAATAATTCAATCGGCATTTTATTTAAAATGTAAAAGAACACAAAACAGATTTTAGCTAGCTAGTATAATTGATACTGATTTTATTTGTTTGTTTTCTAAATTTAGTATTTTTTTTTAATCATTGATGCTAGGGAGTATGAATTCAAAGTGTTTTAAGTTCCTTAAAAGGTAATCTGAACAACAATAAATGAGCAGCTAAATTTTGGTTATGTTTGCAGAGAAAACGCTGCATTTCTAAAAGAAGAAGCCTCAAAAAGCACAAATGACAGAGAAGAATACTAAATTCATGAGAGATCTCATCTTACCAAGCTTTCTGGGAGTTCTGGTAAATGTCCCCTTCACGGTTCGGCAGTGGGAATTATCTCCTCCACAGACACCACACTTATCCTCAACCTTATTAGAACCAATTTCTTTATCACATCCCACTTTCTGGAGAGAAAAGATGTCAAACGTGGCTAATTTCAATGTGCCCAGTAGTGGTCAACATCCCAGAGAATGATGAACCCTTTGTTCAATCATGGCCCGCAGTCAGCCAGTTTACAGTAAACTGCCATTGTAGTCATGATTTTTAATACCTCAGTTTTTTAAAAAATCTAGTGGGAAATCAAAAGACTTGTACTCGAAGTAATAAAGAATATGTTTCCTCCAGTCTAATGAAGTATTTACACCATTTTAAATTGTCATAGTCATCAAACACACATGTAATGAGCACAGATGCAGCTGATGCTGAGGAGACAAAAAAACAAAAAAACACAGTGCTTTTCCCTTGCTGCTCTCACATTTATGATGATGGATAATATAGTGAGTTGTATATTAGTACAATCTTTAAAAGTTGGTTAGGATGTGAGATAAAACTTCATATGAGGGGTGAAGACTTTCACAGGGACCAAAGAAACAGAATGGAAAAAGCATTTCAGGAGAGCAGAAGAGCTACAACAAAGCCAGAGAGATGCTGTATGTTCATGGAAAGTGGGTTCAGAGGTCAATATTTAAACCCATATTTAAACCAATGGAAGGTGAGTGTCGCTTGACAGGGAAAGAACAGTGGACAATCTGCATTAAACAGACAGCAGAAAACCTCGAAGACCACGGAGAATTTACATTTTCCCAGGAAACAGGAAAATACTGAAGGTTTTCTGAACCAAGGCATGTTCTTAATGTAAATCACTGTAGAATAATGATACGCAATACACGACTGCACTCAAAAATATGGGATGAAAGGAGGCAGAGAAAATAAAGACAACACATACATTGAATGTACTAGATAGTGTGGCAGGTAGAAGCTGAACAAGACATGCTCTACTTTCAGGAAAATCTAAGCTCAATTACTTTAGACTCATTAATACAACACTTTAGTTTTGCTGAAGTAAAAAGAAAATATACATTAGGAGCAGTGTTTCAGTTAATAAGATAATTTCATATCAATTTAACTATAAACACAAGAAATAAAACGCATTTTTAACATGAGATTAAATGGAGCAAAAAAAACAGTGTTTCTCTATTACTTTTGTTCTAATGTGAAATTTAGCATTTAATCTTAGAGTTGACTGGAAGGTGAGAAAAAAAAGTCTTGTTATCTTTACAACAAAAGATTAAATATACTTAGCCCCGATTATTTTTAAAAAGACCTGGAATTTTAATAGTAGATCACTACTAAAATATGCAAAGCAAATGCATTATTCCCAGTTTGCATTGCCAACCTAGAGGCCTCAGAGTTACTTAGAAAAGGCATTTGGCTGGAAATTAGGAAAATTATTTAAACCTTGATTCTACTAGTGACCGAAGTTTGATTTGAGAAAGTATAAAGTCTCCCAAATTTATTTTAGCTACTGAACTATTCATAGACTCTTATTGTCATGTGATTTCACAGATAAGACATAGTTTAAAGAATTAAAAATGCGCAGATGAATAAGAGTAAATGTGGATACTGTAGAAAGCCTTTAGGGAAGCAATTTTAACTCACCACACACTCCCCTCGCACACATATGCTATATGGATCCTTGTAAGAACAGTGCGTTCCATCATGCACCAGTTGTTTCATGTAAGCAATATCTCCAGTCTCCTTGGACTCACAGTAAAGGTGGCATCTTTTCTTGGCTGCATAAGATGGAGGATAAAATTAACTATTGAAATGAATGAAATGAAACTATATGAAATGGAATGTTTGAACAGGATAGTTTTTATTTTTAAACATTAGGTTTCAATGTGATTTATTGAAAACAAAAGGAATACTGTATAAACAAAATAAGGAATAAGGAGAAAAGTATGTACATTTGACATATTTGTTTTAGCTACGGTGATCATATAATTTGTCATCTAAACTGGAAAAAGGGCTCTAGTAATAACTGAACAGGAACAACAGGTATAAACTGGAACTGCCCCAGGCAACCCTAGATCTCACCATAGTAGCTCTTAAATAAATTTTAATTCCAAACCAGTTTAGTTTTCATAATACTAGAGCACTGAAAGACTGTCTCTGATTTGACTCAATCACCTAACAGTTTTTGCCTCTTACAGGATGTGATTCACTTCACCAAAATAGATAAAAAATGCAATTCAACTTTTAATTCCTACATGTATTCCTCTTTCCTTTAAAATGGATTTGAACTGAACCCAATACTGTATGTAATCATATAACTGTTTCCTTTCATTAACTCAAATAAGAAGTATGGCAAAAGGTTGCCACTTGGACATATTTAACCCAAAATTAAGAAGTAAGAAGTGAAACATTAAAAGAAAATTTCCAAATGTATTTTTTTTAATTAGTGTATAATACAAAAGTAAAAGGTTATAAGATATCTTTTGTTAGTAAATAATGATCTTTCTCTTGGTCTTGGCCCAATTGTCAAAGAACTATATTTTTCCCAGAAAGGAAAGATCACAATATTCCAGAAGTATTTCCTAGTGGAGGGATTTGGGTTGAATCAGGAATTCCAACATATCTCCCAGGCGTTCCTTTCCACTGGTCTTATCACCGTTGGTGGTGATAGTGCTGCTTGCCAGGAACTATTGAACAATTCTTACTTCTTTAGAGAAAGGGTACTTTAGCCTTATTCTTAGAAACCCAGGAGGACTTATTCCTAGCACCAAGATTCTTAAGTTACCAAGTAGGGATCAAGAGTCCACGGGATTGGTGTTGGCAAAGTTTAAACCCTGCGTAACCATCCACACAGCAGGAAGGAAAGCAGGAGGCTACTCACGCTCAGGATGTTCATATGGCAACCAGTGATGTTTGGCATTCTGGTATTCAAAGTGGGAGTTTCGCTGCTGACACTGCTGTGCTCTGAAGTCCTCAAAGTGTTTTTGGCATTCTTCTGTATTACAAAGCTGGTACTCAAAATTAACACCAGGACAATCCTGACCACCACTGATGGGCCTAAAGAAAAGACAACATTTAAAAAGGCTTTTGGCTTCTGTCTAGCAGTTGAAGCTTGCAGACACAGGGCTTGAGGGCATACAGCCAGAGTTTCTGGGCTGCCAGCACAAAGGGAATGAACTCATACTTCCTAATTTCAGTCCCTTTCCAAAAAGCACCCTTCTCTCCCTGTTGGGTAGAAAAATAAAACAAAACACAAAGCTCAACTAAGTCAGCTTTTCAAATAGTATATTTTAAAGGCACAGCAAAAGTGTATAAGAAAAAAAAAAAAGGCATGTATATTGTATCAATAAAATGATACTTTTCTACCATGTATAAAACACATAGATGCAGCTCAAACTTTGATCATTGCTCTATGCTTTGGTTTCCTCACATGTAAAATGCTAATCATATAGTATCTTCGAGAAAAACTGTGATTAAATAAGTTGATGTTACTTAAAGCACTCATAACAGACCCTGGCTCATAATGAACTTTAGCTTCTAATTTAATTTTTATTGTTTTCATTAATTCTAATACTACCATCATTTCTTCCTGTGAAGGCAGGTATGTGGCATCAGATAGTTTTACAAAACACATGCTCAGAGCCATTTGCTGTCAGAAACAAGAGAGAAAAAGCTGCTCACATATTAAACCCTAGGCAAGGAAGAATGCCCTAAATGTGATAATTCAGTTGTTTTTCCGTTCATAAAGTTTGCTGATCACACAATAGGGATTCAATAATTGTAGTCTGAGTGAGTGAATGGATAACTTTCCCCCAACAGTCGCCTGGCCTTCTATTACCATCTTTCTTTTGCCCTCCACTGAAGCAATCACATTCCACTCCCTGAAGACAGTGAGTCTGTATGCTCGATTCTTCTCCCTCCTGGACACTCCTTTGCTTCTCGGAGTTGATCTCTCAGTGCCCATGCCCACGCCCCAAAGGCATAGTCATCTACTTTCCCTGCTCAGCTTCTTAATATTCCTGAATAGCAACTTCTTTAAAAGTGTCCAATCTTCATTTGATCTTCTTGTCTTTATCACTGACTGCCAGTCACAAGATTGATAAATGAAGATGCATTGAAAACATAGACTGGTTTATGAACTGTGAAAAAATTCTTTTCATGCCCTGTATTTTACATGTACTTCATAAAACAGAAAACTAATAACATAATATTGAAGTATTTCCTGGTCTCTCCAAAAATAACAAAAATTACAAGGATGTACACTCACATGGGATTATTGCACTGGCGTGTCCTGAAACGAACACCAGTTCCACATGTCCGAGAACAGGAGCCGAATTTAGTCCATGACCCCCAGTTGCCATCTTGTTTTTGCTGATTAGCATTCTTCCACATGCAGTGTCCCTTATAGCACCACTTAGAAAAGTGACAAAAGGTGACTATTAAAATCATGCATACACTAAAGCTGAAGTTGTTATATAAGAACCATGTATTCGAAGGGCTTTGTTCCTGCTCTTGTTTTTCAGGTCAAGATGCATTTAAAATTATCCAAAAGCAATTATATCAGTAATATACCCTATCAAAGGGTAATTTAGACTTGTATTTTTCAGGCATAAAATTAAAATGAAAAAACAACATTCACTCAGACAAGTTTTTAAATGTTACGTTCACCAGTGAGCATCAAACACTATAATTAATAAGAACTCTGAGCACCCAGCTTGCATAGTTGGTAATATTTTACCCTTCATCTCTCACTACCTATATCATATCACAATATTTTGAGGGCTATATTATCTTTTTTAAAATGATAACATGAAAATATGTCTCAACTTACATAATAATTAATCTAACATGTCCAAGATGTGCAGCTTTCAAAGCACTTTTATTTAACTTAAAAAATTTTTCATTTACAATGATTCTGAGAAATAGTGGGTCACACACACACACACACACACACAAAAAAAAACACATATATATATATACATATATATATAAAATCATCACCAATTAGATGAGAAAAATTGAGACCCAGAAAGGTTCATAAGTAGTTGAAGGCCATCTGACCGAGAAGTAATTAAGTGGGGCTGCTAGCACCCTAAGACTGTAGAGGCACCCAGTTTACAGTGCCCAGCATAGAGCAGGCGCTCAAGAGATGTTAGTCATTTTCCTCTCCAACATTTTGACTTTTTAATACCACATATAATAAAAGTGTTTGCTAAAACTCTACTATTAAAAATTTCAATATATCGCTTCTTGGCCTTTTGGCTATGATCAAGTGTAGTATCTGTTCTTGATAGTTTAATATCAGTTTAATATAAATTTCAATATAAATGTTAATATAAATTTCAATATATTTAAGAAAGTTGGATGTTAAAAAGTTACATAATGTTTCATAAAGCAAAAATGAATCAGCTCGTTATTGCTCTTGTTTTTAGTCAGTAGTTTGTAATATTGAATTTTCTCAAAGCAAAGCATTGTATATAATGTCCTTCCCATAGTGCCTAATGCAGTACTAACACCTAAAAAGACAGGCTTTATTGTGATTATGCATATAATCCTTGTCACAAGTACAGTTTATACACATTTGAAATTGAACTTTAAAAGAACTAAAAGCCATGTAAATCTTCTGTACTAGATTTTGGTCCTGCCGACAATGTCTTATTTCTAAACTAATCAAAGCTCTTCAACTTGAGTTCTTAACATGGCTTTGTTTTGGGATCTTTGCCCTTATGAGTAGCATAGCTTGGCACTCAGCCAATTTCTGAGCATTCAATCCTGACTACACAATTTGAGATTTAAAACCTCTGGGCATCCTTCCCTGAGGAACAAGGCCAAATCTTCTGTATAAGTTCACATGACTTTATTTCTGGGCAACTTTCACAAGGAATGGGATGCCAGCAAGTCAATCAGATCCCACTAGCAGGGGGGCAGTTAGTCTGCTGAGTTGCTTCTTCCTACTCTGCCAATAGTGGGCTGAATAGTAGTCCCAAAAATACCAAGTCTTAATCCCTGGATCCTGTAAATGTTACCTTATTTGGAAAAAGGGTCTTTGCAAATGTGATTAACTTAAACATTTTTAAATGGAGAGATTATTCCAGATTATCCATGTGGCCCTAAATGCCATTACACATATCCTTATAAGAGAGGGGCAGAGGGAGATTTGACCCACAAAGATGAGAAAAGGCAACGTGGCCACAGAAGCAGAAACTGGAGTGATGTAGCCACACATCAAGAAATGTAGGGTGGTCACCAGACGCTGGAAGAGGCAAAGAAAAGATTCTCCACTAAAGCCTCTGGAAGGAGAATGGCCCCGCCCACACACTGATTTCAGCTCATTGAAATTGATTTTTGATTTCTGGACTCTAGAACTATGCGGGAATAAATATCCATTGTTTCAAGCCACGAAGTTTGTGATAATTTGTTACCTTAGCCACAGGGAACTCGTATACCATCTTAGTGCATTACCAAAATGAAACCTCGCAAACTATGGTTTTCATAAAAATGACAATGCAGCTGTGTTCACCATTTTCCAGACCTTTAGAGAGAATTATGCAACATATCTTACATATTTCTTGTGTAAATAGATATACTCACTTTTCCAGCAGCACATTCAGTCCCATCAAGTGGAGGTCCCTTTTTAGTCTTACAAAAGTAGGGATTATCAGGATGGCTACACCACAGCTGTTTACATGGGTCAAAGGTTCGGAACTGGAAGACAGATAATCAAATTCTCAGTGAACTCTCAGCTAGCATGACATGCACCAAAAATATATTCTATGCAGTTTCATCTGTCCTGTTTCTTTGATGTGTTTATTTCAGGTTAGTAGCCAAAGCTGTGACACATTAAGAAAAAAACTGCATAAGAATTTCAGGTAGATAATACTTCTATACTGCTTTTCTAAAATAACAATGATAAACAATGATTTGTCTCACATTCTCTGGTTGACTTTTAATGTTTCTGCTTGCCATTTCTATGTTTTATTTTTCAAATAGACAATGTTGAAATTTTTGAAAGGCTCAGTAGTTATCATGAATATTGTAAATATGAAAATATAATGGTTTGGCAGCTCTCAAGCTATCAGAACATCTTTTCTTTATCCCTGTAGGTATGAAATTGAATATAAATAATAAAAATACTAATAATAATTAGTTGATTAAAAGCAGAAAAAATTGTCAAACTGTCTGTGTAAGATAAACTATTCCAGGTATATAAAAAATATAATACCTTCATACAGTTTATGAAATATTTTTCCATATATTTGATTGTCATACTAATCCATGGCTGAGAAATATGGATTACAAGTCAGGGCTATAGTTATGGTTACAAGTAAGACAGTAACAGAACCAGATTAGAGTCTTGGCTTTCACAATCTTTCAGAATGGTTTTTATTTTCTTAAAACACCACATTATAATATCCAAATGTTTGTATAAGCAAACATGTATATTTGTGTTTGCTCCTTTTCTCTCTAAATGTAAACATCTTACCAATCACTATATAGATTTTTTAAAATATCAAACATGTTTATCCATATGTCTATTGCCTATACTGCTAATTACCTACATAAACCTTTACATGCATAGAAATTATTATTATTATTTTGAGACAGAGTCTTGCACTGTTACCCAGGCTGTAATGCAGTGGCACGATCTTGGCTCACTGCAAATCTCCAACTCCTGGGTTCAAGAAATTCTCCTGCCTCAAGCCTCCTGAGTAACTATGACTACAGGCGTGTGCCACCATACCCAGCTAATTTTTTTGTATTTTTAGTAGAAACGGGGTTTCACCATGTTGGCCAGGATGGTCTCGATCTCCTGACCTCATGATCCACCCATCTTGGCCTCCCAAAGTGTTGGGATTACAGGCATGAGCCACTGTGCCCAGCCAGAAAATTTTTTTTATTAGTACACATTTTTAGATGTGGGTTTTTTGTTCTAATATTTATTGCTGAATATGGAAATTCTACTTTTCCATGACTTAAGCTAAAGCTTTAGAATTCTCTGATCTAAAACATTAATGCAAGTCATTTAGAGCTCACAGTGTATACCTTACGGGCAGATCAAATCGTTGCATATGGAAGGTTTCAAACAACAGATCAATTTCTTTTTAGTCCCATGAAATACTCTTAATGTTCCTTTCTCTAACACACAAAGCTTGTTCCAATGTATAAAAAGCCCTTCTTTTTTTTTATTTTAAATGAGTGACTAAAGACCAATATGGAAATTTAATGAAACATACCTCTAATGTGAATAGTTACATGGAAGACTGGCTTCAATGGATTCCATTGAACATATATATATGCGCCTTTCTTGTGCTAAGCACTTTAATTATATTATCAAATTTAATCCTTACACTAATCTTATCAGATAAGTACTATCATTATCTACATATTACACATGAGGAAAGTATGTCAGAGAGATTAAATACGGTGCCTAATGTTATACATTTAGAAAGTGTCAGATCCAGGACCTGACCCACTGTCCTGACCCCCATGCTATGCCATATGATTCTCTTACAAGACTATATCAGCACAACCCTTTCCTATGATCACACATACATGGAATCCTGGCCATCAAGCTAAAGAAAAGCAATATATCTAAGGCTTAACAGTCATCTTCTTTTGAAGGTCACAAGAACCATGGGATGAATAGGACATGAAAATATTCGCCTGGCAGCCTTGGTTTCAAAGTCCAGTTCCCCTGTTTACCAGCTGTGTGCCTTAAGCAAGTTGCTTAATCTCTAAGTCTTGGCTTTATCTTCTGTAAAATAAAAATATATCAGCTGTCTTCTATTCTGTCATGACAATTAAATACGATAATATATTTAAAGCATTTAGCTGTAGCACATAACATAATGAACACAAAAAATAACCGCTAGATATTATTATACTTGCACCAGTGAGTCTGTAAATCTCACCAAGCAGGAGCTACACAAATAGATTTTGAGATGCAAAATCCACATCAACTGTGAGCAACATACCGCAGTGCACATTTTATAGCCAACACCAAAATCAAAACGACATTGCTCATCCATAGAATAATTAATTCCAGGAAGTTCTGGGAGTTTAGGCCAATCATGTTCAAAAGGGTCATCAAGGAGACAGTCATAGGAACTGCAGGAAGAAAAATATTGCATGTAGTTAAATGTTCATTTTAAAAAACCATGTCCTGATTTAAAAAGAGTAGTCTTAGCTTATATACTTTAGACTTTCATCCCAGATCATACAGCAAGTTTGCAAAAACATATATTTAAGGTTTCGTTTTGGGTCCATTTAGAAAAGGACTCTTCATCTGTATTCATGCTAGGAAAGTAAATCAAGCATGGCTTAGGAATGTAGTAGAGCCATGATTATTCGAGTCACTAATTAAACCACCACTTGGTGTGGTAGGGCACATCCTGACATCTATGCTGTAGAGTATAGCTGGTACAATATGCAGGAACCGGCCGGGCATGGTGGCTCATGCCTGTTGATCCCAGCACTTTGGGAGGCCAAGGTAGGTGGATCATGAGGTCAGGAGTTCATGATCAGCCTGGCCAAGATGCTGGAAAGTCTGTCTCTACTAAAAATACAAAAAAATTAGCCAGGCGTGGTGGCAGGCACCTGTAATCCCAGCTACTCAGGAGGCTGAGGCAGAGAATTGCTTAAACCTGAGACGTAGAGGTTGTAGTAAGCTGAGATCACACCACTGCATTCCAGCCTGGGTGTCAGAGTGATACTCTTTCTCAAAAAAAAAAAAAAAAAAATGCAAAAATGCAGGAAACACATGATCATCCTCCCCCCATCCTCAAGTTTGACCATTAATCGAAGCTTCTATAACAATTTACTAACAGAAAATTACATTATAGTTAAAAATTTACTTATATTCTAGACTTATGGCTTCAAGTTTTGTGACTCCGTGATAAAATTGTTGTGCCAAATGTTCTGAGTGATAAGGAAATGTTTATTAATAATAGTTTTCATTTACTGGGAATTTTGCTATGATCAAGCCCTAAGAGTCAATTTTTATGTCTGTAGACTATGAAATAAATACTCTCATGACATGCAGTAGGGGACATACTGGATATATCTTTTCAATTCTTGACCACTGCATCGGGACCAGTGGTAACGATGGAACGCTGCTTGTACCAAGGGAGCCATGACACTTCCCATAGCAGTCTCATCACCACACCTGTTGCCTTGTCCATCATGCTCCATTCCCAACCTAGAACACAAGGAGACCTCAGTGGTAAGAATCGGGGGCTACTGCCTTCACTTAATTTTGGTTTTGAAAATAAGCCCTGGGAAATGTGTGTTTTTAAGTCAATGTGGCTTTCTTGAAGGAGTTGCAGAAATGGAAATCAACAGCAGTCCGATAGAAATGCCTTTCTTATTCTACAGCTCTGAAAACCACAGGAATGCCTCTGCAAGCCAGTTACTCATTTAGTTTCAGTGCATGTGCATGACCTCTTCCCTGTTTGCAGCTCTTCACACTTGGCAAAAGACAAGAATTGCATGCTGGCATGCATTCTGCCCAAAGAGGAAACAATACTGGGAGAAGCAGGAAAGAAAAGATCTTTTTTTGGCTTTATAGCTGTCAGCAGTAACTTACACATGGCCCGTTTCATGGGCTACTACAAAAGCCGATGAAAAGCCATCCTCATGATTCAGGGTGCAGCTTCTCACTGGATGGCACATGCCGGTGACTGGAGCATATCCTGCAGAGAATAACAATTACTTTTGTTTTCATTATATGAGAAAACCCATAAAGAATTACTCCTGGACCTTTGCCTAGAGGAAAAAAAGTAAAAGCCTTTCAGGAAACAGGAGAAGCATTATTTCTCTACTAGCATTGTGCCACATTCTCTTGGGAAAGCCACAGGTAATGGTCTCTAAAAAGATTCACTGGGTCTGCATTTTCTCCTTTCCTAAGGGGAGGAATGGACCGGGGTTACCATTCTTTTCTGCCCACCAGCTAAGCCCTGTCTTTCTGTTTTAGTAAATGGTCCTTCATGTCATGGTACTGATGAAGGAAGCCAGAAATTCCATCGATGTTGAAAAGAAAATCATCAGTCTGCTTCTTCCAAAGTCTACATCAGAATTTATTAGATAAATGTAAGCTGACTTTGGAAGAAAGCTCTTTGGCAGCAGTCATTTCTCATGGCATCTCTTTTCTCATTCCAAACAGTCAGTGGGAATCACACTGCATTTTACAGCATCCCCTCCATACCCCAAATGCACAATCATTATTTTAAAAGCAAGTATAATTTACGATGGTATTGAAGTGGCATTTAACATTGAGAATTCCACAGAAGTCACTGGAAGCAACAGAAAGAAAATGTATGCTTGACCTGTGTGTGCTAGAAAGTGGTGGTGGAGAGTTGAACATTTGAACAGACTGCCTGATTTAGGATTACTTTTTAAAAGTCATGCTCGTAAGCTTTTCTTCTATATATTGATGGCAATACCTTGCATTCCAGCAGGTCCAAAGTCTTGCCTGGTTAAAAAAATTGCATGGTCATGGTGTTCAGAGTGGTTGAGATCAGATCTTTGTTGTTGGGAAGCCCAGCGACACACATTCTCCAAGCTTCTGGATGGGTTTCCGCGTTCTATGAGGCTGATGGACTAAGAGGAAACATGTTAAAGACACACATGACAATTCTGCAAAGGCTTCATTTGATAATTTTCCCTGAAGTTGAATTTGGGATTACAGTATTTAAACAATAATTCAATAATATTTGGGGCTTATTTTGATATTTGCTTTGATTTGTGAATTCTAAATGCCCATGAAGGATATTTTAGTAATGGTCAATTTACCTGTGTGAAAGTCAAATGATAGCATTTATGAGAATGGTTTGGTTTGCTTTGTTTGAGACAGAGTCTCCCTCTGTCACCCAGGCTGGAACACCGTGGTGCCATCTGGGCTCACTGCAACCTCTGCCTCTCGGGTTCAAGCAATTCTCATGCCTCAGCCTCCTGAATAGCTGGGATTACAGGGGCCCACCAACATCCCTGGCTATTTTTTTTTTTTTATTGTTAGTAGAGATGGGGTTTCACCATGTTGTCCAGGCTGGTCTCAAACTCCTGACCTCAAATGATCTGCCTGCCTTGGCCTCCCAAAGTATGAGGATACTGAGATTTGCTATTGTGAGGCAACTTAATATTAACCATTTAGGTAATAATTTTAGTAGTCTAAATAATTCCTGATTCGGCTTAGATTTGAGTTTTACAGAATTAAGAACAAAAATATTGAGAAAGATTCTGGCATTTTTTTCCCCAAGATGTGAAGGTATAAAATCTTAGTTAAGATTTTTATTTTTTGTGATCCAGAATTAATTAACGTGGGGAGAATATGAGTTCTTCTATGAGTTGGCAAAGCTGGTGAAATCTTAGTCTATGGAGAACCACCAAATCATATTAAATTTAAGCTAAAAAACAAAAACTCCCATTTTTTTACTTCATGCTACTGAATAGGGGTGGGCTTTTCCAGTTCTGGTATAGAAAATAAATTGTTTGAATGTTGCTACCACACATTATGGTCAGGAGTTAAAAGTTCAGAAGGAAAAGGGCCCAGCCTTCAAGAACCCACTAGCCACATTTCCCAGAGTAGTTCTGATGAAATGAAAAATTGAACTTGGAACCAAAAATTAGTCCCTATTTGGCTGACAGGCTGAATTTTTGTTATCGTTCAGCAAATGTTATTATCAGTGTTTACATTCCTAATACAATCAGCATCTTTTTTTATATACTGATTGCATTCGTTTCTAAACAAATACTTTAATGACCAATTGGAAGCTGTTATTTCCAGCTGGAGCTAACTTATATTCCTTGCTGGCAATACAAAGTAAGTCAGGTTTATGTGATAAACTAAAGATTGCTGACACCCTATCATCATATAAAATGATAAGTGAATGTTAAGTATATAATGAAATGTGAACACATGGATTTTTCCTGTTTCCTAAATGTACAACTTTGTTAGTATTTCATAATCAGGAAGATTAATTATGGGAGAAAGATGTGTAATTTTAAACATCAAGAAAATTGTCAAGCTAGTCATTTCCTGTATGTTTTCTCCTTAAAGGAGCTAAAATCAGTTATATTACATGAAATGCCTACTGTGCATGTTTTGATTCATCTCTTTGCTTTTGAAAGAATTAAAGCTCTTTTAAATGAAAACTATTCACTGTGCGCTTCACTCTTTTTAAGTGAAAAGATATATGTATATATTATTTTTAGGGAATCAAGAGAATACAAATATCTTTTTCTTTTTTCTTCATTATACATTCCAAGCACCTAGAAAGTGCCTGCCACTTAGTAGGTATTCACTATGAAGGCTTCTCATGAATAAATGAAACACAAACTCAGTGACAACAATATGCTAAGGAAATTCTCTCTCCTCATAATAGTATCCATTCATTTCCATTCATAAGTTATACCTAAAGTCAGGGTAATTATCTGCATCTTTAAACAGAAGTAAATAAGCAAATGGTAGCTGCACAAAATATCATTCATAATCTGCTCAAATTTGGACGTCTCCACTCATGTGGCAGTTTCTCCTCCTCAATTTCAAGCAACCAGAGGTTTATGTGAAATATATCTTTGCCATAAGTTAGATGGAGCTTGAACAATTTAGTCTTCTGTTAACCCAGCCCCTAATGTTTATAATTCGCGTTTTAAGACATTTTACCTTTGCGTAACCCAGCATTATCATGCGCACCAGGACCACATTTATATGCACTCCGAGGGACTCATCATGGTAAATTTCATTCACCTAGAAAAAAGATAATTTCTAAAAGAAATGAAACACCGAGGATTTCATGAGATGTACATTTAAGGGATAAGGGTGTAATCACCACAAATAGGTGAGTAAATTGCTTTTTAAAAACTGAGTTTAAAAGCTGAACTCTGAAATATAGTCATTTACTTTCAGCTTTGGAACAATCTTTGCATACGTAAATTGCTAATTTTGTAAACTCCACAGTAATATGAATATATAGGATATGCTCAAAATGGCTTTGTTAAACTAGTGCAATGTTAGAAGGAGTCTATGTGTGATGTAATCCATATATAACATTAGCCAAAAGCAACCACAGGAGGGTGACTTTGGCAAATCATCTGCTAGCCTGTGAGTTGCCTGCAACCACAGTAAAGGAAAACAGCAGGCATTTGCCTACTGGGGTGCCTGTGTGACAACCAGGGGTGTCGTGTCTGGTTGAGAGCAAATGGTCTGTGTGCAGGAGCTGTGGTAGTATATCTGAGGGCCAGCTAGCAGGTGAGGCAGCTGAGGCAATGATTGCTTGGAAGTCCTACAAGATAGAAATCCTTCAAAATTTAAGTTACTAAGGAGACTGTATGAATACCTATCAGATGAAGGTCAGCCCTGATGAAACTTAGGAGAGCAAAGTTGAGTCACTGCTTTTTATTTAAGTTTTTAAATTAGCCTGAAACTTCTAAAAGTGATTTGGTATACTTTAAAATCATAGGTGTTGGAATAAATGCAACCTCAGAGGTCATAGTCCAACTCTGTTTAATATAGATGAGGAAAATAAAGCCAGTAGAGATTTGCTGACATGCAAAACACACAGTGAGCTATTGGCAGATGTGACTCCGAAGTGGACTGTAACTGTATCTTCTCATTAAGCTAGTACAAAATTAGTGCAAATAAAAAATGCTTAGCGACATGGTAAATGTTAGCAGGAATGAGAAAGGTGGCGTTATCAGGCTAGAATGCAAAGTTTTTAGCTGTTCCTAAGAACAAGGACTCAACACTTGTCAAAAAGACTAAAAGAGGGATGAAAAACTAACTGCAATTCAGCTTCAGATCCAGGAGATTTGAACAGTAGGCACAATAATCTGAAACCTGCACAGAAAAGGTAGGCATAATCTCATAGAGAGTAGCTTTAAAAATATAACTCAAGAATGACCAAAGAATGGTCTAAAACAAGAAACTGACAAATCATAATATTGTGACTGGCCATACTGACCAAGAAATCTCAACTGAAGTGTTTCAAGAATCCAGCGTGACTGCTCAGAACACCTTAAAAAAAGCAGTCTTGAATGTAGACTGAAGGCATACTTACTGAATTTGTAGAAGTCACAAACAAGAAAAGAACAGCAAAGGCGGAGATAAAAAATCTGACTAAGCTAGAATATACTCGTGATGGCAAAGTATAATGTAACAAGAAAAGATGTAAAGTCCTTTTAAATGCAAAAATGCATGAATATATACACATATACATATATACATATGCACATGCACACACACACATACTCACATACATAGAAGGATAAGATCCAATTTAATACCTCCACAAGATAAGCTGAGGCATGAAAAGAAACCTGCAATACAAACTTGGCTTGCATAAGTGTACAGGCAGATAGCTCACGCCCAAGTTGTCCCACTCTAGGCTACAGAAAACTTGAAGTACTGAGTTCATTTTTTTGTGCTGTCTTATAACAGAGGTGCTTGACAAAACACGAATATATCCTGAGAAGAGATAACAGCAAGGAGGCCAGAAAATGTGCCTTATAAAGAAGGGTTGGGAAGACTTACAGTTAAAAGCCTGAATGCCATACATTAATAGTCTTGGATAAATCCTGGTTCAACCCCTCACTGATTGTGAGACCTTTATTTTTCTGAGTCTCAATAAAATGGACATAATGAAAATAATATCTCATAGGGTAAGAATTAAGAGAGTTAATTCATACAAACAAATTGCTCAAAAATTTTATGACTGAGGGAGGAAGGGGGTTTTAAGGAAATTAGAGTATGATAAGTAGAAAAAAAAAACAGAATTAATAGTTCTTATGGAAAAGTGATTTGATTCATTATGTATATCTATAGAAAATACAACTTAAAACTATCACATTATTAAAGGGGTAAATTTCAGCTCAATATAAAGAAAAATTGAATGTTAGACAAAAAATTGTGGTTTCTTACGGCCTTTTTAGTCATGGGCTGATTCTCCTATCTTATGCTACACTTCATGCTGCCTAATTGAAAAGTGAATCAACCCTTCCACCCTCCTCTTCTGGATTAATTATCTGATAACATATTCCTAACTTTACAGCTGTAATAAAAGTTAAAAGTCAACAATCAGGCCTGTCATCAACACATTCATTGAGAGACTCATGTCTATCCCAAGAGGCTTCCTGTAAGGCAGCTGTTTCAAATTAGAAACATGGCTTTGCACACCAAGTTAAAACATGTACTTAGTTTAATGAGGCTAAAATGTAAAAAGCATTTGATGTTAAAAAAAAAAAAAGGTTGAAAGCAATGTTAGTAAATAAACAAAACTGGGTAACAATAAAACAAACTAAAGAAAAGTAGAGAGAGTGAATTAATTTCTGAAGAAAGAGAAGAGAGGGTAGGAGGCCTTTACAGCTAGTGCACATAACAGTGACTGCTATACTATAACATATTTAATCCATAAACACTATAGGAAACTCCAGCCTCAGAAAGCCTTAGAATAATGAAATGAAGGAAAGATGGTAATAATAAAAAGTAGCTTGTGATATTTATGTTAGTATAAAATGTATATATGATCATCAAATTAGTAAATTCATTTGTACTTAGTGAATTTTAAAATTAATGCAGTGCCAAGAAAGTACAATGGACAAAATTATTAATACCAATAGCAAATATGATATTATAAAATGAATAAAGGAGCACTTTTTTTTTTTTTTTTTTTTTTTGGAGATAGAGTCTCTCTCGTTTGCCCAGGCTTGAGAGCAATGGCATGGTCTTGGCTCACTGCAACCTCCGCTTACCAGGTTCAAGTGATTCTCCTGCCTTAGCCTGAGTAGCTGGGACTACAGGTGCACACCACCAAATCCAGCTAATTTTTGTATTTTTAGTAGATACAGGGTTTCACCATGTTGGCCAGGGTAGTCTTGATCTCCTGACCCGTGATCGACCTGCCTTGGCCTCCGAAAGTGTTGGGATTACAGGCGTAAACCACTGCACTTGGCCAAAAGAGCACTTTTAAAATTAAGATTTACCATTCACTGAAATAAAAGTATTACTTAACAAAAGTCACTATTATGCCAGGCTAATTAGGAAACAGGGTGATCCAGTAGAAATGAAAATCAACTTAAGAATGTTCTCAGTCAGCACGCATTTTGAGATTCACAAAGTATACATACGTTATTATGGGTAGAAATAATCAAATATGGGGACTAATATTTTTACATAGCATAAAGTATTCTTTCAATGTGGCAAATAAACAGCCAGCTGTCTGTACTGTACAGAGCACTGCATCTGCCTTAGTTTGATTTTCAAGGTTTAAAAGAGTTAGTTCCTCCATATTATTTACTTTTAAAATATACTTAATAATTTGATTGCTTTTCATCTTGCCAGGGCTCTATCGATGCCTGAGATGTTGTGTTTTTATATTGTGAAACACATGGGGTATGATAAGGGTTGGAGAAAAGGGTTGGAGCAGTGGCTCATGCCTGTAATCCCAGCACTTTGGGAGGCCGAGGTACGCAGATCACGAGGTCAGGAGATCGAGGGCAGCCTGACCAACATGGTGAAACCATGTCTCTACTAAAACTACAAAAATTAGCTGGGCGTGGTGGCGTGTGCCTGTAATCTCGGCTACTCAGGAGGCTGAGGCAGGAGAATTGCTTGAGCCAGGGAGTCAGAGGTTGCAGTCAGCTGAGATCATGCCATAGTACTCCAGCCTAGTGACAGAGTGAGACTCCATCTCAAAAAAAAAAAAAAAAAGATTATAAGATATTCAAAACCCTGGGTTCTGTTCCCACCTTGGCCGCAGAAAAACTGAGTGACCTTCGGTTGGTTATTTAACCTGAGTCTCAATTTTCTTATTGACAAACTCTAATTGTACTTTCTTGGTCTGTTTCATGGTGTTGTTGCTCAAAACAAGCAAGATGCCACACAACTATACTCAGCAAAATACAAAGTGCTTGAGCACCTATTCCCCTATCCATGTACAAAGTTCTAAAAAATTTGTGAGTGTATTTTCACAATCTACCTGAAAAGTTCAAGAAAAAAAATTGCCCTTATCATAGTTTTTACTGAAAGGGCCCTCCAGATTCTTCTATTTGAAATTTGTTAAATCTCAATCTCAATGAAACATCTAGTTTAAATTATCAAGAAAATTATTGGGAAAACTCATTTAAAAGATCTTTCCAGCAGATGGCAGTATGCATGCTTCAGAGGGGCAAAGGACACAACTGCTGAATACACCTGAATGTGCTTATATACCATACTGGTCAGTATGATTGCGTTTTCCTATATTTATACATAAATAAAACAATTTCCTTTAAATAAGAATTATACAATAGTATAACCTGAGGAAAATGCTGCGTTTTAAATGCTTACTCATTTGACATTTAAAAGCAAGAAAAATATTTAAAAAATCATTAGACTTTGTTTTAATGTCATCTGATTACAACATTATCTAAGAGGCATAAGGAAGTTCCCATATCTGGCTGTTTTTAGCACTCAATAAATAATATTGAGAAAGAACTAAAAGCATATCTTACTAAATTAACAATTTGAATCTGCAGAGATGGACTAATTCTTATTAAGAAATTCTTAGTAATTCTAAATAATTCTTATTTATTAAGAAAGTAATTTTACAACTTTTAGTGCAAAGGAAAACAATTCTTCTGAAGTAAAAGCAAAATCTACAAAAAAAAAAAAAGAACAGCTAATAATACAGACAGTGAGCTTATCAGTATTATCAATGACACTGCATTAAACACTTTACCTATATTAATTAAAGTAATCCTTGAAATAACTTT